AGAGATGAACGCTGCATTGTGCACTGAGAGTGACCCCACATAGCAGCTCTGTGTGGATCTCACTCTCCCTGCTCAGGCTGTGCCCAGGAATGACTTCAAACTGCATTTAACTGACCCCAACCGCCTCCCATCTGCACCTCCTCAAACTCTGCTTACTGTCCACAATTTTCCTTCTATTCCCGTGTGATTCAAGTTTCCCCAGTTCCTTCACTGGTGCTTCGATTATGGTGATCACAGGTCTCTGTCACTTATGCATGTATCCCTCTTTCACACAGGACACCTGAGGCACTAACATTTAGGGATGTGCTTTATTCTTTACAGAACCCAAAGCACTGTGTCTCCAAAATACCCACGGGTACTGCTCATACATCTGCTTTTGTGTAAAAATTCCTCTTTCATTTTGACCAGAGAAACCTATAGCTCACCTTCATACAGGGAAGTGACGCCACCCATTGTATGTATGTCCTGGGAAACTGGAGGTATGTTCAATATCCTCAGGCAGGTTGGCAGTAGAAGTGCCAAGACTCACAACCATCTCTACATCATTTCCAGCAAATCTTTCACAAAGAAGATGAATATGCTTTACCTGTCACTCATCCACTCTACTTGTCATCTTAACAGATAGAGTAGGTGGAGGAGGGGGAGGTGGCCCATATGGCCCATGATTGGTGATGAAGAGTGGTCCGTGGGGTAGGCCTGCAAGGCGATTCAGGGACAGGACCAGGCCCTCTTGCATACATAATGGCCTGCGGAACAGAAATGAGCACTGTGGTCATAGGACAGGACAAAGTACCGACACCGGCAAAAAGCAGAAACCCAAAGAAGTAGTGCTCATCTCCTGCCACCAGGTTCCAAGAGGGCAGAATCCGTGCCAAAATCTCTACCCATACTTTGGGTTCTGCTTACAGCATTGAGGGGGTGAATGGATGTTTTGGGGGATAAACTAGTGTCCCCACATGTCCGGAAATGTAGAACAGCAAGGGGCATTTTGGTAGTTTTATGGACTTAATACCAAATCAACAAACTAGCATATTCCAGATAGGAAGGCATCTAGTATATTACAGATAGGAAGGCATCTAAGTCCAGGATCACCCTCCACTCCTCTTCCCCCTCCACTAGAGGCTGCGTATTTGTATGTGAAGAACTGCAGAATGAGAAAGGATGGAAATCCCAGTATCCACACATGGAATCATAGCCTTTGTGGCTCAAAGCTCTGCCTCTAAGCTCCCGCCTGTACCCAATGTGCTTCTCTCCTGACAATAGGGTCTTCTTCTCTCTGGAAGTGCTATCCATGGGCACAGAGACACACGGGGCGATGGGGATCCTGAGGTCCGACAGAGGACAAGTAAAATCATGCTCTTAGAGAAACAGGTAACCTATACATGTTAGTTGCGTTCAGCTAATGCATTTTCATGCAGAGGTACTTCTCGGCCTAAGTACAGTACAATTTATAGGGTAAATTTGCCCTCTGGAAAAAAGGGCTGAAATTCTAGATAACAAAACACAAATGGACCTTGATTTCTGGTATAAATATCCATGTTTTAGCTCTGCCCATGATAAAGGACACAACAGAATCTGATCATGTGAACACAAGTGAAGGACACGGTGGGGACTTGCCACTCAGGTAATTTTGGAATTTTTTTCTCTTCATAACGTAAGTTTCAGTGCATGTTTTCTATGATAAATGTGTCACCTCTTAGAGTTCAGGATATTTATACCCAGGGCACACCTAAAGGGATTCTAGACAGCATGTTTACCAAAAAAGATGGCATGTTGAGTGTTTGAAATTTCCTTCATTTAAGACCACTGTAAAAATGATGCATATAAAAATATAGGTTGGAGTGAAGGCAGTTTACATTTTCAAATTGTAAGGAGATCCACAGATTTTTCTGAATACCTTAAAACTCTTGATAGAAACAGGAAAGGAAGAAACAGCAAGAGCAACGATTCCACACGGAGGAGGTCCCGAAAGAATAAGGCGAGCCGGGGGGCTTCCAAGGGGAGTGTGGTGTCATCCTCCTCGACTTACCCTAGGAACACAGTGGGAAGACCCTAAGGTCCTCACCCTTACGCACAGTTAGCTTCTAAACTTACCACAAAGAGATGCCAGGTGGAAGACAGGGAGATCCGTAGCCTCGGGGGTAAAGGTTTTGCATTTGGAAGAAAAAAAAAAAACAAAACAGCAGACATAGCCTACAACACACAAACCAGAGACAAGGGAAGGAGAGTGTGCTGTACAGAACGATGTGGGTGTCGGGAAAGACTTACAACTGAAAATGGCCACAGCGTTTACCTTGTGCTCCTCAGCAGTTTGGGTACAGTCAGTATTCATGGCACTCTCGGGGGTGACACCTTCTTCTGGATCTGCTAAAGGCCCTAGAAGGGATATAGGTTTATTCTGATTTGAGTAGACTGTTTGAAGGTTCTAAAGCAAAAAATCCTCCCTTCATTCCGCAGACAACTTAAAAACTTGGCCCCAGTCTCATCCCAAATCACATGCAGAGGGTATCCCATATGCCTCAGGTGATGCCCAGGAAGGACGTGAAGAACCATCCCTTATAACTTGATGAAGACCCCTAAAAGTTCTGATTCAGATGTATTAATACATCACTCATCGGATGAGTATGGACGGCTGGGGGCACTAGATGGACTAGAAGTTAGGCTGTGCCTCGTGCCTCATAGTGCTCAGCACATGGACGGTGCACAGACATTTCTGCTGAACTGCTATGTCTGCTTCTCTGCAGACAGCCCCATTCCTTCTCCACAAGAGATACTTGTACCAACCGTGACAAAGATGATCTGTCAATCATGAGAGACCTGAGGAATGTGGTAATGGTGGCAGACACATTTCCCTTGCAGAGCAATGGTCTGTGGTATCACCTCTGCACTTTGGCCAAAGACCCAACACCAACAAAAATTAGATGAGGGTGCTTTGCAGATCAACTCTTACTGCCCAGGTCATCTTACCAAGTGCTGCAGATGGAGGGGTTAATGAGGTGGATGTGTCCAGAAGCCCATCAGTGGGCCTCCAGGGTAGGGCATGCATAATGTTCCAGTTAATGGAGGAGGTCCCCATAGAGCCACACTGCCCTGCAGGACAGAAGTGACAGCTACGTGCATCTGCCAGACTAGAGAACCAACACCAAAAGCAGCTGAAGCCCAGAGAAGAACGTGTCAGCACCTGCCACCTTCTCTGCCACCAGGATCTAGGAGAGTAGCATTAGTACCTGAAAACTCTGTCCTTGCCACTGGGTACCACCTGCCGCTTGGAGCAGTAGATGCAAGAGTGAAACTCCTGTCACCACACATCACTGCCCATGTTTGCAAAAGTCAGACGGCAAGGATCCTGTCCTAGAGGATTCACAGAGGTAATTACAGACTGATGAAGTAGCATTCTCCAGACGGACAGACTTCCATGTCCAGGTTCACCCTGCATCCCTCCTCGGGGGCGCCTG